CCAGGACAACTCCAGTCATCTAGTTAGATTACGTCACATAGCAATACCTGTAATCTATGGAGATGCCAGTAACCATGCAGAGAACACTCCAGGAAACCACGCTACGTCGAGAAGCCATGCATTTACCGAATTGTACGATAAGCCATGCACGCAGTTAGTGGAGTATACCTGAGGAACGCCTGATGTGAAACTCAGGAACTACCCAGACCTCCGAGCCATGGACCAGAGTGTGCGGATCTACTATTTTCATTTTTGTAATATTTGCAGTTAGGTCAGGTTATCATTATTTGTATTATCAATTCGTTCACAAATAGGTATATAGGTAGCATTTCAACTATAGCTAGGTATCTAGGTAATATTTGAATAAGGATTTCAGAAATAGACCCATCTGACCATTTTTCAACGACGGGGGCCGTCGTTTTCAGAGGAGGGGCATGTCACAAATGAGGAGATATTTGAAGTTAAATTCCAAAATTCTTTTAAAATCATATTGGTTCGAAGTCATTGAACGTTCACGTATCTGTTTATTATTTCCAAAATTATTGAACCACGAACTTTCGATTAATAGTTGAACCTAAACACAGGCGTGACAATGACTTCAAACCATCCACCTGACTTCCTCACTGTCACGTTTCCAAAATATAGATTAAATATATAAAAGGCGCGAGGAAGCCAGCACAGGCATCAGTTCGATCATTTTCGATAATTCGATCATTCGATCATTCAAGCATTCAATCAGTTTCAATCATTTGCCATTGTGCCCGAATCTTCGGAGTTCGGGCAGAAGAAGATGCCCTTCCTCAGGCTCCCAGAAATGCCTCTTAAATTTGTACATATAGGGTAAGTTAAGTTTTATTTATTGTTATTCATTTCCAAGAATAAATGTGTGTATATATGTTGTTTCAAAACCCTTTTGAGTATTATTTATTATTACCACTTTTGAAGTTCATTCTCTAAAGGATCTAGAACACAACTGAGGCAACCCCCCGCCTACAGTTTGTGACAATATTTTATGTCAGTATGAACCAAAGGGTCCCAGCAAACATTGAACTACCGGTAGAAGTCTGGCCTAGTGCAGGCAAGTCTGGGAAAATAACGGAGTATTGGTAATGGGCTGATGATTTCCCTATGCTAAGGAACCATCAGTTCTGCTCTCTCCTTAATTCATGAACTTATCCACAATGGAATCGATTCATCAGTTCTGTTGTCTTTCTTGAATTCCAATGTACCTCTCTTAGTCTCTAGACATATAGCCTCACTTTCCATATTGATGTACTTAATTCGCAGCATCATTCTCAAAATGGTATTATTTATGTGTGTAGATGTCTCAATAGTTTACCGACAGTAAATATTCTTTTTTTGAGTTCGGGTCACTTCAAAAAAGCTTTGAATAGGCTCGTATCAAACTAACATGATATAATAATTGGTTGAAAAGGTGTTTATTTTTTTTCTGTTCATTATCATACTAATATGACTAATTCCTAATATTCATGTTATAGTCAAAGTGTTTTACTATATGCTTGGACGATTGTGTGATGCACATTATCCTTTTGTTATATACTCCTGTAATTTGACTGTTGGATGTATTACTTCAATAAATGATTAAATAAATAAATATAAGGTTCTTGTTACATCCCGTTCCAATAGATTTTACTTTACGTATTCTTTTTAAAATATAGGAATAGAAACGCAATTACCCGTATGTTATTAAACACTATCAAAAATTAGCCTTCTCAAACCATTTCTGTATATTTCGTCGTAAGCATAATAAGTGATTATTGTTATCTGATCCGATGACCATTAAATATATGACGATATCAGCGCTTCTTATACGGAACCTCATGAGTGTCGTCAGTTTTTTCCCTAGGATTTCTGAATCATTAAAATTCAAATTTTGTCGAAACCATATGGGAGAAATCGTATTTCATATCAAGAGTTCCTCCTTTGTATAGTAAACAAGTTACGCAAATTTTATATTCTAATCACTTTCTTTTCATAAATGGCGTTGAAGTTTCAGATGATTAGTTACTGAAAAAATCTAACTATGCCAACGTACCATATTTGAGTAGAATTTCACGAGTTATTTCAAAGTTATGAAGCAAAGGAAATGTAACTTCAGAGCGCCCAAACTGAGCAAATTTGTACTCAGGTAAGTTTCCTTGTATCGAAATGTTTTGGTGTGAGGAATATGAGATGAAGACCTTTCAGGACCACCCTGTGTAGAGGGCACACACCATTCTATTCAGGAATCAGAATGGCCATCACTATTCCCACAGAGTAGTATCTCACTTTTCTCATCAAGGAAATCATTTTCTGAAAATGTTTAAACAAAAAAAAGAATTTTGCAAAATTCTGCAAACGAAACCATAGTATTCCAAGAGAATTATTAATATACCAAGCAGGAAAATAATATTTTACGAAGAACCAAGAATTCACTCATTTCCGACAAAATATCTTACCTTTTTGCCCTGAATAAGTAGAAATTGAATCGTCAACTTTATAGGCAAAATGTATAGCAGAAAACTTATGGGCCGCCGTTTTACTCTTCATTAACTATACTTGTTATAAAATATAAATCAATCATTTGAAATGTTCCATATTCAATTTCGGTGCAATTAGATTCTTAATTCAATATTGTGATTCATTTCGTTTGATGAGCACAAAAGTTGCAAAAATAGCGTTGGTTCATAAATAATTTCCACCAAACATGTAAAGACCTATAATCAATTCTAAATACCAACATCAAATCATTAGCATCAATCATAGAAATGCATTTGACATATTTTGTATTCATCAATCGACAGAATTAGTATAAAATTGAATAGGGTATAGGAATACAAATAATGTTTTTTCAAGTATAAATATTCTATCAAAAATATATTCCTACTAAATTTCAGTTATGCACATCTAAATTGACTTGGATACCTCTACATTAAAAGCTATAGTCCTTTCTACATAATTATCCATATTATATTAATGAACTGGCAAATAGTCGTTCGTTTTGTGATTGTTAACAACAATTTACTATCCAATTAAAGGATGTAATTGTTCAAATCCCTATCAAAGAATGTATTGTCGTCAAATCTAGAGAATTAAAATTGAACAGTTGATGATATTTTAATGATTTTACGTCAATAGCTATATTTTCCTCGTGGTGAATTTTGTTTTTCCCGAAAAATGGAGAAAATGAATGCTTATCAACTAGTTACTCCATAGCGAATAATATGCTCAGATTCCAAAAGCAGGAAAAACTAGAGAAAAGTTTACCAGAAATCTAAAACATACATTATGGTATTTTCATCACTCATCAATATCTCGAGATTCTCGTTGTATATAAAATTGATATTATAGGACTGAAAACTTAATTTTCTCTTTCAAGACTGATCTTATGCCAGATGTTTAGTCAAGCAAATTCGATATGACCGCTATTAAAAATGCATCTCATACAGGGTGTGAAAAAAGCCTAGGAAAGATTACTCTCAACAAAATGTGAAAAAAGTTGAAATGAACATGAGTCCGGAAATGCATCGTATTCGATATATAGGGTGTCCGCCAGTTTGAAAAACATCAGATTTTTATTGATACATTCACAAGATTTTGCTCACAAAATTCTGAAGAGTTTCTTTCATATTCATAAATCAATATGTCCCAGGTAGAACTAACATCATATTGGCTAGAACTTGGTTTCATATTAGCCCAATATTCGAATATTGAATATGGAATTACTAGATTGCACCAATATCAAACCAATTTTTCATTTCAATATTCGATCATCAATCCATTGCCAATATTTTAATAACATTGAAATTTTGTGACCAGCCGATATCAATTTGTCAATATTTATTTGATATTGAAGGAATATTAACGATCACAATATGTCAATTTTCATGATGGGCTGATATTGCATTTCCAATATCAAATCGATCTTGGAAAAAAATATTGACTCAATATCCAATTTATGATGGTTAGTAAATATTGCATTTCATTGTCCAGCAATGTTGTAATAACATTGAAATTTTGTTTCCAGCCGATATTTATTTACCAATATCTATTCGATATTGGTGAAATATTGACGATCACAATGTCAATTTCCATGATTGGGCTAATATTGTATTTCCAATATTGAATCAATCATGAAAAAAAATATTGCATCAATATCAGATTTATGATGGTTGGTGAATATTGCTCTTCGTTGTCCAGCAATATTGCACAATATTAGTTCATCAATATGCGACCCATTTCAGATAGAGATAACTAATGAAATATGCCAGAAACAATATTGTACTGACATTGGATTTCTAATATCGAATCGATATTCGTGATATTTCTCTTGGTATTTGAGCTACGTTATAACAGCTGGCGCCACTAGCACGCCTCCAACAAACGACTGCTGAGAGACATCAAATACCGCATTCGTTCAACTTGCAAACTAAGTATTCTGAGATACAGGAAACGAAAATGGATTTGATATTGTACAAATATCGCAATTTTTTAATGAGGCTAATATGGCTTCGAATTTTGATTTCGAGTTTTGTTGAAAAACGAAATTCAATATTGGTTGAATATTATAATTCAACATGAAGATAATATTGCAAAATAATCACATCCTCATTTTAGCCAATATAGTAGGGGAATATGAATTCAATATCGATTTCACATATGAAAATTATAAGAAACCAGTTTTCTATAAGTTGAAGAAATTCAACATAGCACCAAGATTCCAGAATGTTCACATTGATTCATTAGAATTACCTTCTAGCCGTTTGTCATCACAAGTCTGAAATATACCCTGTTATGAAAAAATTGAAAAAATAGACCTCTCATCTCAATCTTCAGCACCATTCAGGTAATGTACTGACTTTTTTTGAACAGTGTGGAGTAATAAGCAAAAACACGAAATAAATTCCTACATACCGAAATAATGATGAGCACACAAAAAAATACATGGAGTTGACTATAAAAGAACCCATCAGCATTTCAATTGCCAGAAGACCAGCAGCATGAGTCGATACAGTTTCTTCACATTTTTATCCGTGCTGTTAGCAGGGGTATGTTCAGAGAAAAACCCCTACTGTGACTTGCACTGCTATGGAGCTCCCATGCATACAGTTTGTGAAAGGAGTGCTGAGGTAAGGATACCTGATCCGTCAATAAATATCATTCTTATTTTTACATTCATGTTTCACCCTCACATCTATAGGTAACACACATGCCATTCTAACATTTGATGCGGTTCCACTGAAAAGGAAAACTGACTGTTCGTTGAAAGATCATAATCATTCTTATCTAACACAATTTCTGGAATTGAGCATTCAGCATTGTCAGATTGTTGAGAAACACACGTGATTTTGCTCGTGTGTATCAAAATGGATTATTGTTGCTATGATGCTATGGTTACTCATATACGTATATGTGTTCAGGGTTCAATATAAAAATCACGAAAGTGTTTTTTTTTCATTAAACTCTCACAGCTGAACATCCTTCAGTATAATAGTGTTTTGATGTTTCTATATACTGTTGAATAGATGGTACATATTTTCCTAAGAGGACAATATCTACTTCAATCTATTCACTGAATCGAAAGTAGGCGTTTTCCTTTTAACTCCCGTGGAAGGTAAATTAAATTGGCTCAAGCATGAATCGTTTGGCGTCGATATATACCTTTCATAAATTCTATTCAATCAAAGAAATCATCGTCAATGTCACTATTATAAAACAAATAACAATAATGTCTTTTGTGAATTCCAATTATTTCATACGCTTCTTCATACTCCGAACGAGCTTCTATTCAAAACTTCCAAAAGGAGTAACACAATAAACAAATCGAATAATTCATGATGACAGAAGTGTCTAATTGTCATGCGTTCAAATGCCATCAATTGTCCATGGCATACTATACCTTCCTAATGCAAAAAGATTTGAATCGAGAGAACTAGTGTGAAGTTATCCACAAACCTTCATCCACAAATTCTGACGTAGGGGAAATTTTCCATGATGCAGCGATTTAATCTTATACAGTGTTGCCACATCAATTTTTTTTTGTGGTGAGTATGAGAAAGTACTTGAAGGAAATATTTACAAACCAGTATGTTTAACAAAACTGGAAAAAGTCATTGAGTGCTAGATTGGGAAAAACTTGAAAAATATTTATTTTCTTGCAAACTACGGCGTGTTTCGTCATGAAATTTTTACTCATTACATTGATCGAAATGATTCAGTCGATGGAAACAGTTGTGCCAACCCGTAGGCCGGGTGCTTAGTTGAAAAAACTTGAAAAATATTTATTTTCTTGAAAACTACGGCGTGTTCCGACATGAAATTTCTACAAAATGTTCATTACATTGGAAGAAATGATTCAGTTGATAGAAAAAGTTGTGCCAACCCGTAGGCCGGGTGCTTAGTTGAAAAAACTGTAGGAATTTCATGACGAAACACGCCGTAGTTTCCATGAAAATGAATATTTTTCAAGTTTTTCCAACATAGCTCCCAACCTACGGATTGGCACAACTTTTTCCATCGACCGAATCATTTCGATCAATGTAATGAACACTCTGTAGAAATTTCATGACGGAACACGCCGTAGTTTCCAAGAAAATAAATATTTTTCAAGTTTTTTCAACATAGCTCCCGGCCTACGATTTGACACAATTTTTTCTATCGACTGAATCATTTCTCTCAATGTAATGAACATTCTGTAGAAATTTCATGACGGAACACGCCGTAGTTTCCAAGAAAATAAATATTTTTTAAGTTTTTCCAACATAGCTCCCGGCCTACGGTTTGGCACAACTTTTTCCATCGACCGAATCATTTCGATCAATGTAATGAACACTCTGTAGAAATTTCATGACGGAACACGCCGTAGTTTCCGAGAAAATACATATTTTTCAAGTTTTTTCAACATAGCTCCTGGCCTACGGTTTGGCACAACTTTTTTTATCGACTGAATCATTTCTCTCAATGTGATGAACACTCTGTAGAAATTTCATGACGGAACACGCCGTAGTTTCCAAGAAAATAAATATTTTTCAAGTTTTTCCAACATAGCTCCCGGCCTACGGTTTGGCACAACTTTTTCCATCGACCGAATCATTTCGATCAATGTAATGAACACTCTGTAGAAATTTCATGACGGAACACGCCGTAGTTTCCGAGAAAATACATATTTTTCAAGTTTTTTCAACATAGCTCCTGGCCTACGGTTTGGCACAACTTTTTTTATCGACTGAATCATTTCTCTCAATGTGATGAACACTCTGTAGAAATTTCATGACGGAACACGCCGTAGTTTCCAAGAAAATAAATATTTTTCAAGTTTTTTCAACTAAGCACCTGGCCTACGGTTTGGCACAACTTTTTCTATCTACTGAATCATTTCTTCCAATGTAATGAACACTCTGTGGAAATTTCATGACGGAACAAGTCGTAGTTTCCAAGAAAATTGATATTTTTCAAGTTTTTGCAACATAGCTCCCGGCCTACGGTTTGGCACAACTTTTTCCATCGACTGAATTATTTAGATCAATGTAATGAACACTCTGTGAAAATTTCATGACGGAACACGTCGTAGTTTCCAAGAAAATTAATATTTTTCAAGTTTTTCCAACATAGCTCCCGGCCTACGGTTTGGCAAAACTTTTTTTATCGACTGAATCATTTCGATCAATGTAATGAATACTCTGTGGAAATTTCATGACGGAACAAGTCGTAGTTTCCAAGAAAATTGATATTTTTCAAGTTTTTTCAACAAAGCATCCGACCTACGGGTTGGCACAACTGTTTCCATCGACTGAATCATTTCGATCAATGTAATGAACTCTCTGTAAAAATTCCATGACGAAACACGCCGTAGTTTGCAAGAAAATAAATATTTTTCAAGTTTTTCCCAATCTAGCACTCACTGACTTTTCACAGTTTTGGTAAACATACTGGTTTGTAAATATTTCCTTCAAGTTTTCTCTCATACTCAGCGAAAAAAAATTAATGTGGCAACACTGTATAAGATTAAATCGCTGCATCATGGAAAATTTCCCCTACGTCAGCATTTGTGGATGAAGGTTTGTGGATAACTTCACACTAATATCGAGAGATTGACCGCCTGAAGCAAAATTTCAAGAGTGATGCTTTGAAAAAATTCCTTCGTTGATAATATCATGTATACAGGGTGATTTCATCCCTCATATACATCATGCAAAGGTGACCAGCTCTTGAGATATTAATTTTTCCTGTTTTTCTCCAAAAGGTAGACTTCAAGGGGTCTAAAATCCTGACATTCTGCTGTACATCATTTCAACCTTTACACGTGGTAGGAAGTGGATATATACCTTTTCTCCTTTGATATATAAATAGCTAATATATATCTATAGAGAGCAATGGTAAGAATCTGTTTCCTTCCGCGTGTGAAGCTGAACTTTTGAAACACATCTGGTAGGAAATGGACCTTTTTCTTATTTTGACATGTATATATCAGGCGGTCAATCTCTCGATCCAAATCTTCTTGCATTACAAAGGTAAAGTATGCAATGGACAATTGATGGCATTTGGCTTTTCTGAAATATCAACAATTGTTCCTCCATTGGCAGTCCCCGCGAGATTAACCCGTCGAGTTGAGGCTTCGCACCCTTTCGTGGTCACTTTGGAGACCTGCAGAACATCTCTTTCCCAAGACTCGTTTATCCAACGAACAGCGAGGCTCTGAAACACATTGCCAAGGGAGGTATTCCTCCAGAAATTCAAGAAGAACATTAATTCCTACCTCATTTCCCTTGGTTCTCACGATGTTCTCTGAACATTACAGGATATCCCTTTTCGTACATAAAAAAAAAGTTGCGTGAAGTGTAATAAGTATATAACATATAACATAAAATATGGATGGACGGAGAAAATAGCGCATTTCGTGCTACTTACTCGATATCACTCGGGAAATCTGAACTTGAATCAGCAATTTTGCTACTCATGAAAATTTCAAACGAGACTATTTCGAAATTTCATTGCAGATTTGTGACCAAATTATTATCTGACGGATACTTGAAAGTAACGTTCCAAGTCAATTTGATGCCTACTGAATTCTGTACATAATCGGTAAAACTCATGTTGAACTGCTCATTATTTCTGTACGAGCAAAAGTTTTCATCAAAATTGAATGGAATATTGCACGTAAGACGCTAGGGAACACATTTTGTGTACCCAATTCTGTTTTTTGCGGGATTTCGCTTTGTCCGTCCCGCAAAATCCCATCGTCACACAAAATGACACGTTCTTAACTGATTACATAAACATCTATCACTCTCATAAGCACTTGGACGAAGGAATTGAAAATCGGCATGCTGTTATTACCGATCATTCCCAATCTACCTGAATAATTTTTCGTCTTCCAGGAAGAGAGCGTGATGTGCCAGAAGTCGGCATAATATCTTCCTTATTTTGAATGAAAAACAACGTTTTTCACTAAGTTCAATTGGCCTTTTGATTCAAACAACCTTATTGAGGTCAACCTATTCTCTTATTCTTGACATATGTTGTTTTTTTCTGAAAATGGTAATGATAACAACATGGAAGGGGCTCTATTGCGGCGATTCCCAAAAGTAGGGGGAAAATAAAATGAGCAAAACCAGTTGCACTGAGTAAAATCTAATATATTGATTAAAAGTTATCACTAACAAGTGATACTCCTAGGAGACATAAAGCCAATAAACAATTCAAATCTATACTCTCCTCGCTTTTTTCAGTATACTCGAAAGATAATTCATATATAGCTGAAAACGATTTCAGTTTTACGAGATTCTCTGCCTCTATAGACAATACTGACAAGTCTCTCAGTTTCTATATCATTGGAGTCCTAAGATATTTTTTCATTAGTTTCGATTCTGAAAATGATCTCTCACCTATTGCATTTGTAAAAATAGGAAGCATTCAGTTTTTACCTCCGGTAAACTTGATGCAAGGCTATTTTAAATTTGATCAGTAATAAACCGGTGATTTATTTCCTAAATTAAATGAATTTTTTGAATTACATAATTATTTCAAGAATGTTTGGACAGAAATTGATTGTTTGTATATATCAACTGTCATATCTTCACAGTATTGAGTTTTAGTTTTCCAGCTTTTTTCAATTTATACGTTTCAAAACGACAGGTTTTTTTGCGGTTGTGACACTTCAAACGTATTACTCTGGTCACAAAGGCTCCGAAATCTTTAGTAGCCCAGGTAGCACATCATATTGGCTGGAACTCGATTTCATATTGGGCCGATATAGATATATCGTACATGTGAAAAATAATATAGGTCCAATATGAGAGTATATTGGACAAACAATATTGGAATGATAATATTGGTGGAATATTGGTTCAACCTGAGCTGAATATGGATTGTCAGCTACAATATTGGAGCAATATTGGTTGTAAAATTCGTTAACAATGTGTTGAAAAACATATCTATGAATGTTATATAATATTGTTTTACGAATGTCGATACAACAACATCGTATACATATTGTTCCCGACATTTACAACCAATATTGCAATTTGAACATTCTCCCCATGTCGATTCTGAAGCGGTTATGCAATATTGTATTTTCAAGTTAAACGGCATATCGGTTGGATATTGTTTTAACAATATTTGAAACATTATATTCACCCATCTTGATTGATATCATTTTATCTATATCATGCGGAAGATATCGTATACAATTTGCTTCTTACATTTATAACCAATATCGCGATTTGAATATTGTCCCCATGTTGATTCTGAGGCGGTTGTGCAATATTGTATATTCGAGTTCGACGGCATATTGGTTGAATATTGTTTCAACAATATTCGAAATATCATATTCACCTATCTTGATTAATATCATTCTATCCATATCATGCGGAAGATATCGTATACATATTGTTTCCAACAATCATAACCAATATAGCAATTTGAACATTCTCCACATATCGATTCTGAAGGGAATTTCAATGATTCAAATATGAATATCAATAACGGCAATTCAATATGTATCTCATATCGGACATAGAAGAGAAAAACAATATTGTATTTTCAAGTTCAATTGCATATCGGGTGAATAGTTTTCTAGCCATATTCAGAAAATAATATCATCTTATATTGGCTGATATGTGATTCACTATATCATGTAAGCAATATTGTTTACATATTGTTTTGAGAATACATATTGATATCGGAATTTCGATATTTATTCCATATTACGCACTCCTAAACCGATGTCGATAGATGGCGCTATAAATGATTGGTAACGTACTCTCATTGCCGATCCGACGAGAGAATTTAAATATTGGCTCTAGACGATTGTGAAGTATTATAACCTGGAGTAGGGGTTAACCGTGATCAACAAGGCGGCTTCCCTAGGGCAAGGCCCTCCCATTGCACTCCGGCTGGGCTGACCTTTTTGATTATTCCTGATGCGAATAACTCGCAAATATTGGTATGAAAATATTCCACCAATATTTTGAAGACAACATAGCTACATAATGATTTTCAATAATGTACCAATATTCCCAACCAATATTGCACCAATATAACTTCACGAATATACCAGCAATATTGGTATGAGAATATTCAACCAATATTTCTGGGACAACATACCTTCATGATGATTTCCAATGATTCACCGATATTTCCATATATTACACCAATATTGCCGAATGTTCACCATCAATTTCTCGCCAATATTGATATTACATTTTGTGTCCGATATTACTCTACGAATATTCAACCAATATTAATATGAGAATATTCTACCCACATTTGGAAACTGATATTGTACCAATATCGCCGAATGTTCACATTTTTTTTCTCGCCAATATTACTTTCACAATATTTTGCCGATATTTTCGTAATATTGCACCGATATTGTCCCAATATATGTGTGCTACTTGGGAGATGTACCTACATTCACTTTGAAGTAGGTTTATTCTGTTATGATGTCTGCTGACGCGCGTCGCTGGAAATCTGAGATATCCAGTATTGTCAACTTCTTAGGGCCCGCTAAAGTTAAGCATACAGTCGGTATAAAATCAATGACTTCATGCAAAATCTGGAAAAGACACAGAATTAATGTCGCCAACTATACGGCCTAGTAGTTTTAGTGGGATTGTCGATAGCATTTTACGAATACTTGATTACACAAGCCTGTATATAGCCCGGGGGATGGGTATGATAACCTGATGATACTTATGTACAACCTTCATTCTGTCTCTCTCAGAATTGCGGGCCAGACCCAGGCTGCGGTCCGGATTTTCGAGAGGTTCCCTTCACCGATGAGCAAAGACAACAGATCTTGGATCAACATAACGAATTGAGGAATAAAGTTGCATTGGGAAAGCAGGATGGACAACCACCTGCAAGTAACATGAGAGAGTTGGTAAGTTATTCCAAACACTTAGAAGAGTTCGGTGATAGTATATTGTGCAACAAGTGGAAAAAGTGCTTTTCCTCACATGTTGCACACTGAACTTTTTCTACAACTGCACTTATTCAAAGAATCCGAGTAATGTAACTTATTGGTATTCATTTTATAATGTGGCACTATCCACATTGAATATTGTGACCAAAGAGTAGACGCCTTTCCTATAGGTCCTCAAAGTATTAAAAAAAGTACACTATCCGAAACAGAATTTATCTTTGTATTTTTTTAGATTTCATAAACTTTTCGTACCAATATGCCAATTCATACTTTTTTCTTGAAATTTCCGGAAAAAAATCCAACTTCCGCAGCTTTTTCCATTATCTCTGTCTCTGGTGGTGTATTTATCAAAATCGTCACATCTCGTTATATACATCATATCATTTATTATGAACTGTTGGAACAATATTTGATGGAAAATGCGATTTCTATCAAAAGCACTAATGAGAACTACCCTAAAGAATTTAAAAAACTTCTTCTGACAGTTGTTGTGACAACTATTCAAAGCTGAACAGCAGCAAAGTTTTGATCGATTTTTGTTGATTCTCCATGGAAATGTATGTGGTGGTGGCAAAGTGCCGTGAGAAAAAATATTTCTCACAGTATGGGCAATACATGGTTTCGAAACTAAGTAAGCAATGAGAAATGCGCTACTTTTCATAGCAGTAGTAGAAATTTTTTTTTAGTTCAAGCATGATTTTTCATCAGACTCTGAAATATATTATACAGGGTGTAACTGAATAAGTGTAAAACATTTAAGGAGATGATTCCTCATCGAAAAAAAGATAGGATCTTTCATATAAAGAAACTTCATTGGAGCATCCCTTGTTAAGATACAGCCCCTTAAAGGGGGTACATAAAATTTGTATAACAATTTTTTTCACAAACACTGAAAAAGTTACAATATTGAAATTAACCTGACGTTTTGTACTACCAAAAAGACACTTAGCCAGTAATTTATTTGGTTTACCCCATGGTTGTAAGGGGTGAAAAACGCAACCCCTAAAATTTATTTCCAATGTAACTTTTTGTCTTATTATTTGTTTACCATTTAAAAATTTATTTCCGATAGCCTGTTTCATTCTAAACAAAAAATGTCTCTTGGGTTTTTTGCCCAAAATAAACCAGTAAGCAGCAAAACATTATTTTACGAACAACTACAGAGATACATCGTCATAAATGCGAAAATACGAAACTAATCTATCTAGTAGGTCGCTATTAGCGATAGTGACAATTAAATTGGTATGACGCTGTCAGGTTAATTTCAATATTGTAACTTTTTCAGTGCTTGTGAAAAAAATTGTTATACAAATTTTATGTACCCCCTTTAAGGGGCTGTATCTTAACAAGGGATGCTCCAATGAAGTTTCTTTATATGAAAGATCCTATCTTTTTTTCGATGAGGAATCACCTCCTTAAATGTTTTACACTTATTCAGTTACACCCTGTATATATAGATATATATATATTGTACGTAACACGTTAGGAAACGCATTTTGAGTAACTCGCGGGATTTTGCCTAGCCCGCGTACCGCAAACCACCATACCAACTTATGATATGTCATTAGAAAGGTGATTGAATGCTGAATAAAGCAAAAAGAAAAAAAATAGGGTTTCCATTTGAAATAAGAAAGTTGATGTTACTTCCGGTCAGACCGGGAGTTAACTTCGACTTGTCAATATGCTCAAATTTTAGCTCTCATGGCATTATATCGACGCTCCAAATTTCACGAATCTACTTCATACAATAACTGAGATATTCCGTAGGCAATACTTCCGTAGCCACCCATATTCGAAGGATTGCAATGTCTACTTTAATGATCGATGATATTTCCGAATGTTGAAATTTTCAGACATGGAATAAGGAACTAGAATACATCGCTCAATGTTGGATGAATGCTTGCAAAGGAGATCCAATGAAGCACGACAAGTGTAGAAGAACAGGTGAGACTGCATTAACAGCGTATGATTTTCTTCTTGCTTCTTGAATGCGATCAGTTGTTTTCTCGATTCAAATTCAAGGGCGGATCCAGGAAAGGTCATGGGGTGTCATATTGGGTCATGACTCCCCGCTCCTAAGTACAGGTGTACCCGAGATTTTCTTGTGTACTTTCTACTCAATTCACCAAACAAATATAATATAGATGGATAGTAGTCATACTGATACAGGACACGTGGCACACGCAAATACAAAGCAGGAATTAATAAACAACAATAATAATTTGCTCTGGTGGTTTCTGCATATCTATGCACGGTGTTTTCGATCATTAGTGAGAAATTGGTGAGATAATTCCAGGGGTAGTTTTATGGAAAATTCATTCTATACACATTCGTCGAAAAATGTTTCCTAATGTATCTAAATACTCTACACCCTGACGACGTTTTTTTCTCAATATTTCTCAAATCATTCTTCAATTAGAATTAGAATTTGAGCTCATTTCAATAACCCATTCAGGGACGTATATATAACATTACTGAATGGGTTAAGGATGAAACAATTCAATTCGTATGGTATTTCATTCCACATTCTCATCTCAGAATATAATACCTGAAGGCTTTTCAGGCGAAGAAGGTACTCCTACTTGGAATCGATATATGAGGCTAGTTGTTTTCGAGAAGAACGCAATTTTCCACATGAAAAATTGCCATACAAAATTGATTGGTTCATGCCCTCAATCTTTTCAGTATGGAAGGTCCCTGAATAATATAAAAATGATATTTTGATATTCTGCGAGCTCAGATTCTGGTTTGGCTTTGAAAGTTCATGCGGTGTATCTGATTTCAGGATATTTTAATTAAATGATTCAAAAATATTAAGAATGAGTCGTCTTGAGGATGTACTATTTCGAGGGGCTTATAAATAGATCTCTCAGAAAGCATCTCAGGACAAATTTTTCATGAAGTTACCTCAGTAATAACCTCAGGAATTTTTTTAACAATGTTCAGGATAAACACCATGTCCATGTATACAATATAAAGGTACAAATCGTAGAAACCACCCATATTACTCGAAAGAGTCCAATTGATTTTTGATAGCATTGTATAAGTACTCTTGAAGACATACTGATATGACAGTTATTTGGTCATTATATCGATGATCATATAACGGTTGTGTAGTTTTCTGATGGATGTCCTGAAAGTCCTGAACTGTTTCATTAACTGGGGCTTTTTTTGGTTGCAAAGACATTGTATAATGGTTTAAACCCACATGATAAGACTTCAATGTTTCTATAAAATATGCTGTATAACAGTTCTAACAGCCATTGAGAAATTAGTTTTTTCTGTGACGGGAAAAAAGTTTGGCATTTCATCTCTGTTGCACGTTGGAAGTGAGTACTTTTTTTCCGGATATATCACATATATATAAACTGTTGATGGCTTTTGTTGTGCTATAGTTCCGAAAAATGAGTCAATAATACCGTCTCCGAGAAAGAACTGCAAGTCCTTTTATCTCCCATTCGACTTCGCTATTTTGATATTTGATTACTTCAAAAGAATGATAAAGATGCCTACAACGCAGGTGTCCCCACTGTCAAAAACTTCAAATTTCACGTCGATGATTTTCAGATTTCAAAATAATGTAATATCTTCTCAATATTGATTCGTTCTTTCTTCTATCACAGAAAAAAGAAAGTATTATATACACGGGAAAAATATTAGATATCAGCTCACAGTTTTTTGTCTCCCTCATAACCTGGAGCTAAAATCTACTACTTTTTTCACTTGTATAATAAATAACTATTTGCTAGTTGCCCTCCTCCCCCTTCCTGCCGCGAGGGGTGGATCCACCCTTGTCAATTGTATTTCCAGAAAAATGAACATGTAATAATTTCAGCTGAATACAAGAATGTGGGACAAAACTTGGCTGCCACCTATAGTAATGCCGATAACTTCAACATCAAGCCAGTTCTGACCCAACTCACCCAGGTGTGGTATGATGAGGTTAAAGATTTCGATCCAAAACTCGTTCCTTCTTATCAATGGTAAGCCAATATTTCAAGTGAACCTAGCACGTTAGGTAAAATATGGTGTGCCAACTCAAAAAAGATGATTTTTTAGTTAGATTCACCGTTAGATTGTTAGATAGGAAATTTGCTACTGGGGGGTATACAAACTAGTATAGACATGTCTTCAAAATTTATCGATTACTCTTATTCTGAATAAAAATTGATAACCCTGATTTTGAACTGCCAATTGGCAGTCATTCAACTATCAAATAGAAACCAAGTGATTTTGATGAATGTATCTCTTTGATCTTATAATATCATTCTGAGATAATGAAATGCTAATCATTTCACCACTATACGGACATTCTTCCATTCTCACATGAGTTCATATCACAGTTATACGATCTTTTTGACAAGATAAAATTGATCTTAGTGAGAAGGTCCCATCCGGGACTATGGATGCTGACGTGAATATATCCCCTACTTCCTTTTTTTCTCTATTCAAAAACGAACGAATATATTGAGGTTCATATAACTGCTAATCGATATCTCTCCGAGAATATATTTCTTTTGAAATTGATATTAACATGCCTGCTAATTCTAGGGACTACCCCACTGGTCACTATAGCCAGTTTGTCTGGGCCAATACTTCGGAAATCGGATGTGCAGCTACGGTCTACTCTTCTCAAAAAAGTGGTAGGAAGATGTTCGTGTTTTTATATGGCTGCAACTATGGTCCAGCCGGAAATTGGGATAACCGGCCTGTATATGAGGAAGGAAAGCCAACTCTTCGAAGTGGTAGCAAATTTGAGGGTTTGATATAGGCTTGACTCTGGATATCTATTTAATTGTTTCTTGATCACTATTAATGAATAAAGTTATAATTGCAATAATCGATATTTTTCTATGAATCAACACACACCATTCGACACACAATCGCCTAAGAACACCCAAATGTCGTCGATAGCCTCGAGAGAATGTCTTGCTTTCTTCATTCTAAAAACCTTATTAGTCTGCGGATTCTCACTTATGCTGAATCATGCAGAAGATATACTTGAGAACAGTCTGAGTACTCTTCTATACAGGGTGATTCAAAAGTAAGCGGCATCCTTTCAGAGGCGTATTCCTTGCTTGAAAATAAGGCAAAAAGTTCCTATTGATAAGGATCCGAAAATGCTTCCTAAGGGAGCTACGGCCCTTTGAATAGGACACCTCAAAGACGGTTTTTTCTCTATAACTTTAAAATCCTTCACAACAAATTTTTAAAAATTGGTGTACGGCATAAACATTCGATGGTAAATAGGACTCCGTATTCGAAATTTCAGAATTTCATTCAGGGGCGTCACATGCGGGAGAGGGTAAGTGTAAAAATATCCCTTCTTCTCCGGATATTCAGGTTACTGTGATTTCGTTTGGAAATTATTTCGAATACGGAGTCCTATTTACCATCGAATGTTTATGCCGTACACCAATTTTTAAAAATTTGTTGTGAAGGATTTTAAAGTTATAGAGAAAAAACCGTCTTTGAGGTGTCCTATTCAAAGGACCGTAGCTCCCTTAGGAAGCATTTTCGGATCCTTATCAATAGGAACTTTTTGCCTTATTTTCATGCAAGGAATACGCCTCTGAAAGGATGCCGCTTACTTTTGAATCACCCTGTATATGTGAACCTAGGAATCCCTTCAAAATGTCACCAGGAGCTTCAACAGGTTGTTCTATTTTCTCCATCCTAATGTCAATATCAGGTTGCAAATTGTCAATGATAATTTAATTGAATTGGATTGAATTGAATTAATTCAGTTCAGAAATAACACAATACTATGAAATATTCGTCAAATGAGTATATTATTATGCAGTTCTCTGCCAGAATGTTTTTAATATTATTAAAAATGTCGAAAAGTTCACGAAAATCGGTTATTAAGTAATGAATTGTACCATTCAACACCCCTGTTCGATGACTGCGAAAGCATAGATTCGTTTCTCGTGTGATTTATGTGTAGATCGGATCGTGCTTGATAGTTGCTCATGTTCTTTACGTACAATAAAATATGGTACCTATAGGAAGGTCGAAAATATGGTCATGATCTTTGGTTCGTCAATTATAGAGCTGTCACTGACTTCCCAATCAACTTTTCTCATACTGAGTACAGCACCTATTTGAATAATTGAAATTCATTATAAATAACAATTCTATCCAATTCCCCATATTGGGGCTTCATATTATGTTGTGCGTGCAGCTGATTCGCCAAGTGAAGAACAAATTTTCTTGATAGCGTAGGTACACTGTTATTGAGAATTTTCCAAACAATATCTTAATGTGTTCTGATTATTGCATTTTCGTATCAAACACAACTTGAAGAAAATTAACATAGCTATTAAAATTTTCACAACTAACAACTACGGTCCAGCCGGAAATATGGATAACCGGCCTGTATATGAGGAAGGAAAGCCAACTCTTCGAAGTGGTAGCAAATTCGAGGGTTTGATATAGGCTTGACTCTGGATATCTATTCAATTGTTTCATAATCGCTATCAATGAATAAAGTTATGATTGCGATAATCGATATTTTTCTATGAATCAACACACACCAGTGTATTGATATACCCATTCGACACACAATCGCCTATAAGAACACCCAAATGTCGTCGATAGCCCCAAGACAATGTCTTGCTTTCTTCATTCTAAAAACCTTATTAGTCTGCGGATTCTCACTTATGCTGAATCAGAAGATATACTTGAGAACAGTCTGAGTACTCTTCTGTATATGTGAACCTAGGAATCCCTTCAAAATGTCACCAGGAGCTTCAACAGGTTGTTCTATTTTCTCCATCCTAATGTCAATATCAGGTTGCAAATTGTCAATGATACTTGAATTGAATTGGATTGAATTGAATTGATTCAGTTCAGAAATAACACAAAACTATGAAATATTCGTCAAATGAGTATATTATTATGCAGTTCTCTGCCAGCATGTTTTCAATATTATTAAAAATGTGGAAAAGTTCACGAAAATCGGTTATTAAGTATAATGAATTTGTTAGCTATCGTTCTATTCGATATAATAATCCTTATTTTCTACAAATCTGACTGACAACTCTAGATATTTATTTGACAAATTCCTGACTGACTTATACATAGCTAACTCGTTTCATATGTATTCAACATTCTACTGAGTGGCTCTAACACCTCCCTTTTCTAAAATTTCCTAACTCATAATCTTGAAGATTCTTTGGTTATCGACTCTCTCTTCTTTCCCTCTGACATCTGCCTTCCTCTGAGCTGATCCCAAATATGTCACCATTGATCTCTTCATTTTTCTTCCGGTTAGGTATATCCTCGTGTACAGCTACATGTTCAGCTACCTGTTCCACTTCGTGAATATCATAATACGAAAGAGGTTCATTACATCGCGATTTGTTAATGTAAGAATCATCCAAATCGAAGGCATCCAGCAAAATATTCAAAGGAATATCTGTGATAGATGCTGATTCAGATTTCGTGGTTTCTGAATATTTGGGTTTTATTTGATTTGCATGTGCTCTAATGAGCTTATGCTCTTCTTGAAGTAGCACATTATATAAAACTCTTCCAACTCTTTCAATTATTTTACCGGAGACCCATTTTTCTTTGTTCCTCGTATAAATTCGCACCGAAACTAATTGATCAGGTTCAAAATTACGTCGTTTAGCTCCGTGTCTCCGATTGAATTGGTTTTCCATGTCTGAATTCACTTGAGATTCATTTATACTGGTAGATGGTATCACCAAATCCATAAGCGATCTGGTTTGACGTCCAAACATCAAGTGAGCTGGTGATTTTCCTTCAGTAGCATTTTTATTTGGTGTTGACCGATACGTTTGAAGAAATGTAACGATAATATCTTCGGTAGTAGCCACTCAGTAGATTGTTGAATACATATGAAACGAGTTAGCTTTGTATAAGTCAGTCAGGAATTTGTCAAAAGTCTTTTCAATTTCCTAATAGTTGCGGAAGTAGTAGTTGACGTCATCTTGAAGATTTCAGGCCATTTAGTATAGGCATCTACGATCAGAAAACTTGATATCTCTGGGATGTTTTGGTAATATGAAAATGGTATATTTTTCATGTGCAGCAGTATTCATATTTCGAAGAAGTAGACGAACCCTTGCCGCATCATCCAGTTTCGCTCCGTCGAGCACAAACAAATCCTCATAACGTTTATACCAAGCTTCGAATGTGACGTTGTTATCTAGATCTGGTACAAATTCCACAACATTTCTGGCCAGTGATTCAATGATGAACTCAGTATTATCGGGTCTTGATTCCGATACTCTGCTCTCATTGCCCAGCTTCTTCACCAACAAGTCAAGAATTTTATTTTGATGATCTAGTAAGGTCGCCAATGCTTCAGAATCCATTATCCTCGTCGCCAACTGTTAGCTATCGTTCTATTCGATAGAATAATCGTTATTTTCTACAAATCTGACTGACAACTCTAGATATTTATTTGACAAATTCCTGACTGACTTATACATAGCTAACTCGTTTCATATGTATTCAACATTCTACTGAGTGGCTCTAACAGAATTGTACCATTCAACACCCCTGTTCGATGACTGCGAAAGCATAGATTTGTTTCTAATGTGATTTATGTGTAGATCGGATCGTGCTTGATAGTTGCTCATGTTCTTCACGTACAATAAAATATGGTACAGAAAGGTCGAAAATATGGTCATGATCTTTGGTTCGTCAAATATAGAACTGTCACTGACTTCCCAATCAACTTTTCTCATACTGAGTAAAGCACCTATTTGAATAATTGAAATTCATTATAAATAACAATTCTATCCAATTCCCCACATTGGGGCTTCATATTGTTGTGCGTGCAGCTGATTCGCCAAGTGAAGAACAAATTTTCTTGATAGCGTACACTGTTATTAAGAGTTTTTCAAACAATATATTAATGTGTTCTGATAATTGCATTTTCGTATCAAACACAACTTGAAGAAAATTAACATAGCTATTAGAATTTTCAGAACTGACATTTAAAAAAAATTTAGTTTTCTTTCAATAGCGATTTATTGTGCTCGAAAGTGACCAAGCCCTAGTGTTCTCCAAGATCAGTTATCCTGATAATATTTTTTTTCAATTCGATGCCAAACGTAGTATCGTCGGTATATATAATGGTTGATGCTTTCATAGAATATGAATAGTGTAAGAAAGGTCATTTATGTAAATCAAGAATAGAAGAGGAACCAAAACTGATCCTTGTATAAATTTGTTTTTCGCCATACAAGCAGTTAATACAGTACAATATTTGTTTCGATTGTTTCGGTGTTCATAGTTCGTCCACAAGTGAGTTTATTCTATAGGTATCTAACTTTTCTGACAGTCTTTATAGTTGATGCTATTTCGGTGCTCACGAAATTTTTGAGCAAGTTCATTAATGTACACATTTGAAAGTGATTTTATTCTATATTATTGTTTCTTGGAGTAGATGAATAATGTATGGAAGGTCCAATGTAGAGGTAGCGCTCATTTTAGACAATTTGTAATTCTTAACCTATTCAACCTCCTGAGGAATATAGAGGCAGTAATTATTTCGGAATAGTATTACATACAACCTGCCCCAATAATTATATAGTTTGAAGAGTTAACAAAATGAAAAACAATGCGAACCATAACTTTACTGTGCACAGAGTAAGAAGTGGAATAAGGAACATGAAAAAAGTGCAGTGATAGCATATTTAGAAGCAGAAGAATGAATATATCCATTCTTCCATCCACTATAGTGGATATAAATAGCGGATACAAAAACTTAGATGCCAGCTTTGGGCACACGAA